AAAAAAAAAAAAAAAATGGGACTATACAATATCCACTACCCTGCAGTTTGCTTTTCTTAGGGAATAATAACACTGTAAATGTCTTTCAAGATCATTATATAATATTTATGATATTTTAATACATACCCATGGTAATAAATCAAACGATACAAAGAATCAGTGACAAAAAAAAACCTGATCGCCCTAGTGCTTAATAAAAGATCAGAGGCATTTAAAAAAGATAAAATATGAAGGGTGGGAGGAAATCCCTAACACAGTGCCCGGGGGCCTGACTCCCAATAAGGTCTAAAATGATCCCCCTTCACTTTTACTAAGAGAAAGGGAACAACCGCAATTCTTGTATCGTAGTCCACCTCCAGGCCACCACCACCTGTGCATTCTGTAGGGCAAGCAACAGAAGCAAGTGAAGCAAGGGGGCGGGAACGGGGCTACGGCACCTGGGAGAGGATGTGCCTGGTCAGACACCTGAGCAGGCCAGACACCTGAGCTCAAGAAGGGAAGAAATTTGGATTTTTATATGAACTCTACCAACTTGTAAATAAAAGCAACAGAGGTTTAACCTGCAGGGGAGCATATCTATGTGGACTTCCTTCCACCTCTACCACCCCCGAGATAGCCAGACCACCTCCCCTCTTCCTCTTCCTCAGTCTACTCAACAGGAAGATGGTGACGATGAAGACCTCTATGATGATCCACTTAATAAATAGCAAATTTATTATCTCTTCCTTATGATTTTCTTAATAGTTTCTTTTCTCTAGTTTATTGTTAAGAATATGTATATAATGCATATAACATACAAAATATGTGTTAATCAACTTTTATGTTATCAGTAAGGTTCTGGTCAATAGCAGACTATCAGCAGTTAAGTTTTCAGCGAGTCAAAAGTTATATGTGGATTTGACTATGTGGAGGGTGTCAATACCCCCAATCTCCATGTTATTCAAGCATCAGCTCTAACTGAAAATAATTTAAACACACTGTTTACACCAAACTAAAACCTATCTTCAGGTCAGATTTTTCCCCAGTGCCAACTTGTATTTTAAGGTCATTTTTCAACAATTGTGCTTTGGGAGAGAGAACTCAGAAATATCACTTTGTTGTCTACCAGTCTAGAGGTGCTCAGACATGAATTCACCCACTGGAGCCAAGAAGTGCCAATTATTCTATTTTGATTCTATCAGCTAAAGAGTGAGTGGGGAAGTTCAGTGGTTCTGATTGCCAGTAGGATGAAAGCTCTCCAGAGAGAATCAATACTCACAAGCCAATAGTATGGCCTTCAAATTTTCATTGTGACACAAAGAAATACACCTTATTTATACACTTATACTTCGTATTATAATCATATCCATTTGTATAACTGAAATAAAAGTCTATAGAACAGTGCTTACCTTTAACTATTTGCAATTTCTATCCTGTTGATGTCTTTGAAATGTTGAATGTAAACCGCTATTTTATAATCCAATAAAGAGATATAGACCAGTTTGAAAAGTCATAGGCTAACAAATACCACTCAGCTGTAAACTCTGCAACTTCCTCGTGTTTGTTAATTTTGTTCTAACAATTTATAAATCATTATCAATAGTAACATCATTAAAAAAAAATGGGCCCTGGGCGTGGTGGCTCATGCCTGTAATCCTAGCACTCTGGGAGGCCAGGGCTGGTGGATTACTTGAGCTTAGTAGTTTGAGACCAGCAAGAGCAAGAGCAAGACCTCATCTTTAAAAATAGCCAGGGATAGGCTCGGCGCCTGTGGCTCAAGTGGCTAAGGCACCAGCCACATACACTCAAGGTGGCGGGTTCGAATCCAGCCCGGGCCCACCAAACAACATTGACGGCTGCAACCAAAAAATAGCCAGGCGTTGTGATGGGTGCCTGTGGTCCCAGCTACTTGGGAGGC